CTTCCCCAAATAGTCCCACCCCCCCCCGACACACACCCGCTGCTACACCGCTAGCTCCACTCCCACGCACCCCCCTTAAACCCTAAACCCCAGTCTCCCACACAACCACCCCCCTCAGCAACAGCTGCAGCAGTGGGAGACGAAGGAGGAGGAGGAGCAAAGGGAGGAATGCACACCGGCCACCCCCATACCCTCCACCCCATAGCTGCGGCCCCCGAAGGAGCCGCGACGGGCGACAGGTCGGTGGTGGGGCCGCGACAGAAGGTGGCGCGGCCGCGACCGAAGGTGGTGGGGCCGCGAAGGGAAAGCGGCGGGGCCGCGAGAGTGGGGCGGCGGGGCCGCGACGGGTCCCCGTCGCCCGTCGCGACGCCTCCAGAGGGGTACGCGGCGAACGACGGGGCAGAGGCCCGCCGCGCGCCTCGGGGCGCACAGCGGGCAGAGAACCGCCGCGCGCCTCGGGGCGCACGGCGGGTAGAAAACCGCCGCGCGCATCGGGGCGCACGGCGGGCAGAAAACCGCCGCGCGCCTCGGGGCGCACGGCGGGAAGGAAAACCGCCGCGCGCCTCGGGGCGCACGGCGGGAAGGAAAAAGTTGTAGCGGAAGCGTGGAGGTGGTAACCCACCCACAGGATCGATCCAAGAGGATCGACCTGCTCTGATAGCATGACAAAATTAGAAAGAAAGAAGAGGGTTTGACTAGCAAGAATGGGGATACAAATAGCAAACCCTAACAGGGTTGTACTCGCTATAGAGCACCCCACTACAGGCTAGATAAGAACATTTTGACAGAGGAGTGACAACATTTTACGCACACATTGCATCATTAAAATGTTTAGGGTACATAACACCTCATCTACTGTTCGTGTGCATCCACCGTGTGTGCAGCTCCGCCGCCATAGGGAACTCCTACATCGAAGCGCCCACGTGTGGCAGAGACGGCGACGATGGCCGCTGCAAATCTTGTGTGCGAGACGATCAAAGGCTGCCACTCAGACGCCATGAGCAGGCTCGAAGGCCTCGTCCGCGCGTGGATGGATCAGGACGCGCGTATTGCTCGGGAACGCGTGCAGCAGCCCGCACCCTCCCCGCATGTCCGCGACGACAACCCTGCCCACGCGGACAACGTGACCAACCCGCACGCCGCCGAAGGCAGCGACGACGGCTGGCTTCGTCGCGAGCAGGCGGGTGAAGACCCCTCTAACCCAGATGCGGGTGAGGAGGTGTGGGTCCGCGGCGCCGCCGAGTGAGGTACCGTATGGCCCCGGATAGAAGCGCAGGCCTATGTTAAGCGCATGCGCTTGTATCTGGAGCAATGCGCTTATGGCCGATCCTCAATTATAAGCACACCCCTTATAAAACCCTGATTTATTATAAGCGCATGTATAAACATATTTCAAAAAAACGGATTAAAACAGTAACGACTTCCCGTTTTAAAGCGAGTCCACATCCACTTCTACTCTGTTTGACTCCCTCGAGGGCAGGCTCGCTCAGTAAAAGCGCAACAGCGCGAAGTTGACCTGACAGGAGGGCTCGGGAACACCTGTTGTCTGTGCGCTGCGAGCGAGCGACTGCAGGCTATTGGTCGTACACTGGGGCAAGCCTGTGCGATGCGAACGAGCGACTGCAAGCTATTGGTTCGTACACTCTCATGGTGCGAGCATGACACATTCCTATGCGAAAGTGACGTGTCCTTGCCCTTGTGCGCCAGCAGAGAATCGCCCTCGCGAGATTCTGATTCAGAACGCTCCACACATTTCGATTTGAATGAAATTGCAAGACTCTAATGCACAGTTTGGTGCGTTTATAACATATTTCTGTGTTTGTTATTATATAAGCGCATGCGCTTATAATTTTGACTCATTTATAAGCGCACCCCCCTAAAAAACACTGTTTTATTATAAGCGCAGATGCGCTTCTATCCGGGGTATTACGGTAAGACGACTCCAGAGCCTCGCCCAGCCGCTTGCGCCTTTCACGAAGATTCTCTTGCGCACATGGGTCATATGGCTCCCACATGAACTCTGCTACCGCGCCACGAGTCCACCATGGGTCCCAGTTTCGGGGCAAGTTTGCCCACGATGCATTGACGCGCCTTACTGCGCCCATCATTTCGCACATGTTGTGCAGGATGACGCCACAAGACGCCCTTGCAAGAATGCGCCAGAGCTTGCAGTCATTGCGGCCCGCGAATAGACGCCACCGGCCTTTGAAGGCGCCGATGCAGCGCTCTACTGCCATGCGCGTTGCGCTTTGGCAATAGTTAAAACACTGCTCCCAGTCCTCCATTAGGCCTTCACGCGGAGCATGTAGGGGGGTCAGGCAAAAGTCCCTGAGTGGGTAGGCAGCATCTCCCACTATTTGGTATGGCGCTATACCGTAATACCCCGGATAGAAGCGCATCTGCGCTTATAATAAAACAATGTTTTTTAGGGGGGTGCGCTTATAAATGAGTCAAAATTATAAGCGCATGCGCTTATATAATAACAAACACAGAAATATGTTATAAACGCACCAAACTGTGCATTAGAGTCTTGCAATTTCATTCAAATCGAAATGTGTGGAGCGTTCTGAATCAGAATCTCGCGAGGGCGATTCTCTGCTGGCGCACAAGGGCAAGGACACGTCACTTTCGCATAGGAATGTGTCATGCTCGCACCATGAGAGTGTACGAACCAATAGCTTGCAGTCGCTCGTTCGCATCGCACAGGCTTGCCCCAGTGTACGACCAATAGCCTGCAGTCGCTCGCTCGCAGCGCACAGACAACAGGTGTTCCCGAGCCCTCCTGTCAGGTCAACTTCGCGCTGTTGCGCTTTTACTGAGCGAGCCTGCCCTCGAGGGAGTCAAACAGAGTAGAAGTGGATGTGGACTCGCTTTAAAACGGGAAGTCGTTACTGTTTTAATCCGTTTTTTTGAAATATGTTTATACATGCGCTTATAATAAATCAGGGTTTTATAAGGGGTGTGCTTATAATTGAGGATCGGCCATAAGCGCATTGCTCCAGATACAAGCGCATGCGCTTAACATAGGCCTGCGCTTCTATCCGGGGCCATACGGTATCGCCATTGTGCAACCTTTCGTGTAACGCGCTGTCCATGAACACTCTCTGATCGTGCGCACTGCCCGGGTATCCGATCAAATAGTCCCATATGATGCCTCGCGCGTCGCATGTGATCTGCAACTGGACGGCGTAACAGGACTTCCGCTTGAAGTACTCTTGCCTGTGCCCCTCCATCCCCTTCATGGGTATGCGTGTGCCGTCTATAGCCCCCACTACCGCAGGTACCCCCTTGATGGCGCGGAACTCTGCGGCCATCTCGTCGAGGTCGTCGCGGGTCGGGGAGTGGACCCACTGCTGCTTGAAGACGGACGGGAAATGCATGAGGAGCGCGTCAACAAGCATGTGGCACAGGGTCTTGGACGGCCCGAACACGGAGGACAAGTCTACGAAAGACATGCCGCTTGCGAGGTATTTGATAGGTACAAGGCATGCCACTTCATGACTAATTAGGTATCTGTCCATGCACGGTTGCATGTAGTGCGTCATCCCGGCGACAATGTATTCGAGAATGCCACGGTTTATGCGAAACATATCTCTGAACTGATCCTCCCCCATGCCGTCCAGGTCCTCCAGCAGCAATTGGTATCTCCGCCGGCGTAGCCCAGCCCTTCGTTTCCGGCTCTGCGGTACGGTTGGAGGCGCGAGAGCTGGATGACGATGACACCTCGTCATTGAAGACGTTCGCCGCCAGCAAGCCACCGACCGACTTGGCGATGGCGTCCATGAATATGCTGTAGTAGAACGTAACCCATGCGACAAGTAGGCGCATGAGGAATGGCACCTCGCGCGGCGATGCCATGGTTGCTAGACAGTGGTGCAGTTTAGTTCTGTGATGCTTGCGTTTTTGTACTTGGAGCCGTGGTTGTATACATGCTGTTGTGTGTGGGGTGTCCCAAATTGCAACTTTCATTTCTGTGGCAAGCCCACCGCGATACTCGAGGTGGTGCGCTATGTTTAGCCCCCCTGCCCAGCGGGAAAATTGGGTGGGCACAATCCTATTGGTCGCAACCAACAGTATGCACCCACCTGGCTGTGCCCATCTGTCGCACAGGGTCGCGGTTCATTGGTTGTTTGTGACACATCATTTGGCAAATTTACAGGCGCGACTCGGGAAAACGGGGATTGAGACTCAAGTGTCCCCGCAGGAATGTACCACAAGTCATACAGATGAACATATCTTTCGATGCCAGGTGGCATATGCCATCGTCCATGGATGGCTTGGGCATCAGCGAGTAATGTCTCCATATTTCAACAGGAGTGCTGTGCAGGATGTCGGTTCACTGGTGGCTGTGCAGGGGAACCAGCCCAACTAGTATGTAGTGCTACTTTACCACTGCTTGGTGAACATGTTTGTGAAACCTACACTTCATAACTTATTGAACCACACGGAAAATTTACAGAGAGCAGCGGTCGGTACCGTATGTGAGAACAAAGAAGGGGAGAGAGAGAGAGGGAGGGAGGTCGCAAGCGACGCGGGGGGGGGGGGGGGGGGGGGGGAATGAGCGGGGGGGAAATGAGTGAGGGAGAAGGTGCAGGAACGCTAGGGAGCGAAGGGGCGAGGGGAAGAGAGAGAGGAAAGAGAGGGAGGGAAAGAGAGAGAGGGAAAGAGAGAGAGGGTAAGAGAGAGAGGGAAAGAGAGAGGGAAAGAGAGTGGAAAATAGAGGGAGAAAGAGAGGGAGAGAGAGGGGGAATGAGAGTGAGGGAAAGAGAGAGAGGGAGAGAGAGAGAGGAAAGAGAGAGGGGGGAAGAGAGAAAGGGAAGTGAGAGGAGCGAGGAGCGAGGGAGCGAGAGAGAGGGAGCGAGAGAGAGGGAGCGAGAGAGAGGGAGCGAGAGAGGGAGCGAGAGAGAGGGAGCGAGAGAGAGGGAGCGAGAGAGAGGGAGCGAGAGAGAGGGAGCGAGAGAGAGGGAGCGAGAGAGAGGGAGCGAGAGAGAGGGAGCGAGAGAGAGGGAGCGAGAGAGAGGGAGCGAGAGAGAGGGAGCGAGAGAGAGGGAGCGAGAGAGAGGGAGCGAGAGAGAGGGAGCGAGAGAGAGGGATCAAGAGAGAGAGAGAGAGAGAGAGAGAGAGAGAGAGAGAGAGAGAGAGAGAGAGAGAGAGAAAGAGAGAAAGAGAGAGGGAGAGAGGGAGAGAGGGAGAGAGGGACGGGGGGGGACAAGAGAGAAACGGTGGGGGAGGACAGCGGCGGGAGGGAGGGCGCGGGAGGGATGACAGGTTGGAAGGAGGTATGAAGGGAGGGAGGGAGGGAGGGAGGGAGGGAGGGAGGGAGGGAGGGAGGGAGGGAGGGAGGGAGGGAGGGAGGGAAAGAAGAAGGTAATAAGGTGAAGGCTGGCGAGGGGGGATGCAGTAGTAAGGAAGGAAAGTGGGAGGAATGGTGAAGGATTAGGGGAGGAAGAGGGGCGGAAGGGGGTAGGAAGAGGGAAGAGAGAGAAGAGAACGAGGGAGGAAGAGGGAGGAAGAGGGAGGAAGAGGGAGGAAGAGCGACGAAGAAGGGAGGTGGGGGGGAGAGGGGAGGGGCAGAACAGCGAATTTGATGCGAGGGAGTATGGAAAAGACGGGAAAGAAGGGGGATGGAACGCGGAGAATGGGGAAAAACGGGATACGGAGGAGCGGGAAATGGGTGTGTCGAATGGGGAACGAGGTAGTGGGTGGATAGGGGGATGGGGAGTGGGGAATAGGGAAGGCAAAAATGGCAATGAATGCGGAACTCAAATTCCTGAGGGTTGTTTCATTCCGTGCCCTTATTTAGCCGGTGATATATTCTTGAACACCCAAATGCTCGCTCAATGGGGACATGGGGAATGAGATCACTAGAGAGGTCTTAACCCAGACTTGCAACTAATAAAAAGTTCGTAAGGCCCTAACGAATCTACTCGTTACTAGCAGATCTCAAGCAAGCCGCTTCATTACCGAAACGAACTCCCAATCCTGCTATAACCATACTGCAACTCACTGTTCTTCCGATCGCTGACGCGAGCACACTGGCATCAAACGAATCGGCTTCAAACGAAAGCTTCTTGATCCGCGACACCCGCCGTGGTAACTCAGCGAAACCAGAAACGGGTTACAAATTCACGTCGCCGTAACCGCCGCGCCCGGCCGCGCGAGCGGCATTTCGCGAGCGTTGCACGCAGATCCAGATCCCAAAAGACAGAGCTCCGACTCCGAGAATCACTCCAATCACCGTCCCCGCGATCACTCCGCTGCTCGGTCCGCTCGACGACGCGGGCGGCGTAGGTGTCGTCGGAGGCGGCGGCAGCGGCGGCGCCGGCGGAGTCAGCGATTGCGCGACATTGAACGGCGGAGATGCGTAGTCCTCATCTGACGGAATATACTGGTCCCCCGGAAAGTTGTCCTGATTCACCCCCCCTGCCTCCGACGGGGGGGCGGAATCCACTGGGGGGGATTTCGGCAGAGGTTTTCCCCCTTCCGGCGGAGGAGCTGGGGCGTCAACTGGGGGCGGCGCGGGCGGAGAGATCTCGGGGGAAGGCGTGGGCGGAGAGATCTCGGGGGAAGGCGTGGGCGGAGAGATCTCGGGGGAAGGCGTGGGCGGAGAGATCTCGGGGGGTGGCGTGGGCGGGGGAACGGGGGGCAAGGATGGAGTGGGGGCAGGCGCGGGCGCGGGTTGCGGAGCGGGGACAGGGGGAGGGATGGGCGGAGCGATGGGCGAATTGATGAACGCGGGCGCGGGCGTCGGTGAGGGCGCGGGCGTCGGGGAAGGCGCGGGCGTTGGGGAAGGCGCGGGCGTTCGGGCCGGCGCGGGCGTTGGGGAGGGGGACAGAGTAGGCTCCGGAGCGGGTGCAGCGACTGGGGGAGGAGGGGGCGGGGAGGCCTTGGTTGGGGGAGGGGAGGCCTTGGTTGGAGGGGAGGCGCTGGTTGGAGGGGAGGCGTTGGTAGGAGGGGAGGCGTTGGGGGGAGGGGAGGCCTCGGGGGGAGGGGGGGGCTTGTGGGGCGGAGGCGGCGGTGACTTCCCTAGGGATGGGGCGACGAGAAGCGCGAGGAGAACGAACAGCACTTGGATATGCGCAGATCCGCGCGCGCGCGCCATGTTTCCGCTCGCGTGCAATGCGCTGCGCGATGCGCACGTGACTGCGGAAAAGGCCCGGCGAGAGTATCACCGCGAGATTTGCGGCGGGGATAAGGCTGCAAGCGCGGACCCTGACCCGACAAGATGGCTGCGGCTCCGCAGCAATGGGGCCTCAGTGAGCTTTGAGCTGATCGAACCTCAGGCACAGCAGCCTTTAGCTAGGTTGGCAAAAAATTCAGGGGTGCTGGGATTTGAAGGAATGAGTGGTGTGGTGTGGATGAGAATGGAGGAGGGCAGGTAGGGGCAGAAACAAGGTGGGTGAATGTCAACGCAATGGGCGGATGTGTCGTGTCGAATGTCCAACCAAAGCTCTCACTTGCCTGCCTTCACTGCCGCCAAGGGATTGCCGAGGCGCAGGTAGGGGCGAACTTAGCGGGCGGAAGTTTGGAGAAAGGCGTAAACACCAATGAAAGCGGCATGGTCGAGGTTCGGAAGGTAACGAAACGTGAAGAGGCTGGTTTGACATCTCACGACAAATTAGGCACTCTGGCCTCGTTCTCGTTTGGCTTGCATTCAATGGTTCGTGGAGGTTTGGAATAAGGCTCGGCACTAATGGCTTGGAGAGTGTTGGTGTGCGGATGCCACACCGATTTGCGTGCGGGCGCAGGTCTTTCGCCAGATTCGCAACTGGGGTGTTCAGGGGGTAGTTCGCGCATCACCAAGCTTGTTGGCGAAACAATCGCATGGGAAGCCGGGTTCGCACGAAAATCCCAATCTTTCGAGGGGCGTGATTGATTGGCCAGAAGTTTCAAGCATCCGCGAATCTCGGAAAATGGAAGCACCCATTGAGATTCGTCGTTATGCACTACGTAACACGATGGTGTACATACACTTTGAATGCTGAAAAGTAATACAGTAGCTAACCCTCTTTCCATCTATAGCCACACCTCATGTTACAGCACTTGTAAAATATTGTCATGGGCTCATCAGCCGATCGGGTTTGGATTTGCATGAAAAACGCTTGCGAATGACCACACTTGGGACATGACGCTGCAAGGAAAACCACCGGGAGGAGGGGGGAGGGGGGGAGGGTGGGATATTGCATCAACCAACAATACAACATAACACAAAAAGCTCGCAAGTTCTCTCCCACGCATTCATTTCAAAGTTTTATATTTTGCTGAATGCGCACCTTCGGTTTTGTCGACATTTTTCCACGCGTCCTCCCCTCCCAACACGTCATCCACCTCCTTTTGCACCACCAGTTGGCGCCTTGAAATCTGCATTATGCACGGGGGGGGGGGGGGGGGGGGGGGGGGGGGGGGGGGTCGGGTGGTCAGGAGGGGTGTGGGGAGTGGGGAGTGGGGGAGGGGGGCTACTGGGGAGCGGACGTACAGGTCTTGCGATGAACACAGAGCCTTTTGAGACGTCTCAAAGGTCATCATTGGCCGGCGTTGACTAGCATTGACTGCCAACACTCTCACCCTTGGCGTGATGCATTGACTAGCATTGACATACGTTGACTGCAATGGCTCACCTTCCTGGTGATGCCATAGACAGGGGCACGTCTGACAGAAGAACCAAGCCATTGACTGGCGTTGACTAGGATTGACTGTATTGAATTCAACTCACCTTCCTGGTGATGCCATAGACATAGGGGCACGTCTGACAGAAGAACCTCGCCTCTCGCCCCATGTGTGCCTGCTCCACCAGCAGCATGTTGGCACACGTGGGGCAGAACTCCATCTAGACGCGCTGTTGCGTTGATAGCACAAGGGGAAGTAGAAGGTAAGGATTGGGAAGCAGGTGAGAGAATCGCGCCTCTCGCCCCATGTGCGCCTGCTCCACCAGCAGCATGTTGGCACACGTGGGGCAGAACTCCATCTAGACGCGCTGTTGCGTTGATAGCACAAGAGGAAGTAGAAGGAAAGGATTGGGAAGCAGGTGAGAGAATCGCGACTCTCGCCCCATGTGCGCCTGCTCCATCAGCAGCATGTTGGCACACGTGGGGCAGAACTCCATTTATGCGTTGGAATGCTGGGAGGACGTGGAGAATGAGAAGGGAACGACAGAAAGGTAGCTGAGACTGAAGAAGCGCGCTTTTCTTGCCCCAGGGAAGAGGAGAATGACAAGGGAAGGACAGAAACATAACTGAGACAGAAGCTGCGCTTCTCTCCCCACGTGAGCCTCTCTCTCCCCACGTGGGCCTCTCTCCCCCCACGTGGGCCTCTCTCTCTCCCCAAGTGGGGGAGAGGAGATTTTGGAGGAGGGGTAGGTATTGGGTAGGGTACATAGGGGAGTGGTTAGTGGGGAATATGGGGGGAGAAATGGATGGGTTGGGGGAAGAGGGGTACTGGAGAGGAGGGAGGGGACTGGATAGGGGGGAGAGGGGTTTGGGTAGGAAAGGAGAGAGGATTGATTATAAGAGGAGAGGGGATTGGGTGAAGGGGAGTAAAGGGGGAGGGGATTGGGAAAAGGGGAGAGTGGATAGGGTATTGGGGAGAGGAGGGGGATGAGCTGCGGAGAGGAAGCGCCTTCCCGCATTTCGCGGGGGCTCAATCGTACCTGGAAAAGGGTAGGAAGGAAACGTAGCAGATGGCGCCGCAGTTGGCGCCGCTGTTGACGGGGCACCGAGAACGCCCAGCTGTGGCTCACATGGGTGTCTTTAGGCGACACTGCGGGATCCACTGCGCGCGACTCTACGGAGGACACTGCGGACGACACTGCGGACGACACTGCGTACGACACTGCGGACGACACTGCGGACGACACTGCGGACGACACTGCGGGAGAAAAAGGTGGTTTTCTGTCAGGAATAAAATAAAGGCTATAATAATTACGTATTTTCACTTCTGCATGGGTGTTTGGTCTAGTGGTATGATTCTCGCTTTGGGTGCGAGAGGTCGCGAGTTCGATTCTCGCAACACCCCATTTCGCTTTTGTGGTTGACTTTTTCCCCTCCTGCTCCTTCTATTTTCTCTGCTAGTCCTTGATATCTCTCTACGGCGTCGCTTGTCCAATTTTCATTACCTTTCAACCTCGTGAGTGCCAAGGCACGTGCTACAGCAGACCAACCCTTCACACCCCTTTCATCCCTGACAAACAGCCCCTAAAGCTATCCAACTACTATAAACCGCCTCCATAGCACATCCTACGTGTGTGTCCATACAGCCTTGAGATCTTTTGTCCATGGTGGTACCTATGTATCTGCTCACGTTTTCCCACAAGGCAGAGCAACACCAGGCAGCCTATCCCTATCATGGGGAGCAGTATGAATCCCTAGCTCACGGAAACAATCCAAAAAAGGGGTCGATTTGATGGAAGGGTGGCTTCAGAAACACGGTACCAATGGGATTTGATATGCGGCAACTATGTAGTGGCTCTGATCCTTTTTCTATATACATTAGACACATTGTAACATTGATCAATTGCACCACTCACTCATTTCCACAAGGCAGAGCAACACGGGGCAGACTGTGCCTATCGTGCGGCGCAGTGTAATCAATACCCTGACCCATAGGAATGATGCCAAAGGGGTTGATTGAAGGGTGGCTTCAGATATGGAGCGACTTGATGTGCAAAGACCATGGAATGAATATGGCCCTTTCTCTATTACGGTACTAAAAGACCAGTACATTTGAACACGATCAATTACACCACTCACTCCTTTCCACAAGGCAGAGCAACACCGGGCAGCCTGTCCCTGTCATGCGGCGCAGTGTAATCAATACCCTGTCCCATAGGGATTATTCCGAAGGGGTTGATGGAAGGGTGGCTTCTGAAATAGTGAGACTTGATATGCGCCATGTTCACTGTAGAGGCTATACCGGGCAGCTGGTAAATTTCCTTGGTGTAGTTGAAGAGGTTGGGGAATTCGCGGATGAAATTGCGGTTACACTTGAAATGAACCACGTACACCTTTACGGTGTGTATGTTGCGGGGGCGGGAAAGGGAAAGAGAAGGGTGTGTGTGAGTGGGGTGGTGGAGATTTGTGTTCAGGTGTGGTGTGTGTGTGAGTGTGTGTGTGCATGTGTGGGTGAGTGTGTGAGTATGTGTGTGTGTGTGTGTGAGTGTGTGAGAATGTGTGTGTGTGTGTGTGTGTGGGGGGGTGTGTGTGCATGTGACGTTGTAAGAGCCAGGATGATACGGCCGTTTTTCGCAGGGGAGTGAACTAAATCAGTCAAGATGGTAGTAATACCAGGAACGGACCTGGGTTACAAAGGCTACTATGCTCAGCATTGTGACGAGAAAGAGGAAATTACGGCCGTATTCAAAGGTACACCTTACAATGTGCCGGAGTTACTTGGGCGTAGCTCGTCGAATCGAATGAGAGTGACAAACAGGCGAATGTCTGCCTCTGTGAAGGCTTCCCCTGCTTTGTAGTGCTGGGACTCTGGCTCAAACAGTCACTAGGCGTACCAATGTTCACCCCGAATAATGGAAAGGTTGCAAGGGTTACTAAGGCGTACCTCGTCGAATCGAATGAGAGTGACAAACAGGCGAATGTCAGCCTCTGTGAAAGTGTCTCCTGCAATGTAGCGCTGGCGAGACAAGATGTCCTCACAGCGATCGAGAGCAGCAAAGAGCTCCTTGAACGCCTGGGAGTGGGCGTGCAGAGAGCAGATGGGACAAGACATGAACACAGGAATGCCAATAAGTGCTTCTTGAATGCTGACGGGACAAGACGTCCTCACAGCGATCGAGAGCAGCAAAGAGCTCCTTGAACGCCTGGGAGTGGGTTAGGAGACAAAGGGGGAGCAAGCAGAGAGCTCTGTAAAAGTATCTCCTGCAATATAGCGCTGCTTGGAAAGAATGTCCTCACAGCGATCGAGAGCAGCAAAGAGCTCCTTGAACGCCTGGGAGTGGGGGAGATCGAGCAGGAGAAGAAGAGGGGAGCGGGAGCTGTTTCAGCAATGGCATATCCTTGAGAGCTCCTTCAAAGACTGGACGTGGTAGACTAAGGGGTGGACGGAGAGTGAGGGGTGGACGGAGAGTGAGGGTGGACGGAGAGTGAGGGGTGGACGGAGAGTGAGGGTGGACGGAGAGTGAGGGGTGGACGGAGAGTGAGGGTGGACGGTGGACGGGTGGAGAATGCATGAGTAAACATCCACCTGTCCTCATTTATGCAGTGATTCGACTCACCTCCTCGTATGGGCCTTATTTCTTGGCAAAGCCGCAGCGATACACGCCGTTATTGATCGCTGGATACACCCACTCGTTCACCCCGCCCTATCACAGGCACAGGGGCACCCACAAACCCTCCCACCCACCCACCCACCCACCTCTTCATATGGGCCTTGCTTCTTGGCAAAGCCGCAGCGATACACGCCGTTGTTGATTGCCGGATACACCCACTCGTTCACCTCATCGATTGCTGCTCGCAGGTGGGGCGGGTAAAGGTCCACCTGAGGAGGAGTGGTGAAGGAAAGGCGCGAGTGAGAAGGGTGAAAGGAAGAGGGACGCCGCTGCTGATCGCTGGATACACCCACTCGATCACCACGTCGATTGCTGCTCGCAGGTGGGGCGGGTAAAGGTCCACCTGAGGATGTGGATGGGAGAGGGAAGGGGAGGGAGGGGGGAGAGGGGTTGCGCATGGGAGCATCCACCCAAGCACGGGAGCACGGAAGCGACACGCATGCCCGGGTGCCCAGCATCTCCTTTTGAGTCGTCTCAAAAAGCATCTCCTTTTGAGACGTCTCAAAAAGCATCTCCTTTCGCCTCAACAATTGCTGCCCGCAGGTGCATCATCCGGGCAGATGTAGACGTCTATTGTCTACCTGCAGGTAGGCGTGGGTATTTGATAGCCGGCGGGTATGGGAGGAGAGGATGGGGGGCGAAGAGAGAGGAGGAGGAGGTCACATGGCCCCCCTCCTTCATGCATGAATCCATATGAGACTGTTTAGTCACCCTAACACTGCTGAATTCACCTGACACTGCTGAATTCACCTGACACTGCTGGATTCACCTGACACTACTAAATTCACCTGACATTGCTAAATTCACCTGACACTGCTGAATTCACCTGACACTGCTGGATTCATCTGACACTGATAAACTCACCTGACACTGCTGGATTCACCTGACACTGCTGAATTCACCTGACACTGTTATAAATCATACTTACCTGAGGGTGCTTGGCTAAGGCGTTGAATTCCGAGTTGAGCATTCTCACGATCTCCGCACTCTCGTTGTTCACTATGGTGCTCGTTTGCTTGTCCCACAGGACCTACAAGGAAGAACAGGAGAGCAGAAAACAGGAGAGCAGAAAACAGGAGAGCACAGAACAGGAGAAAAAGGGGTTTAAGTTACGCATTCGCATGATGTCGCTGCACTCACGATGCCGCTCTCCTTGTCCCACAACAGCTGAGAGTGAGAGAGGGAGGATAGAAAATCCAACCAAGGAAATCTGTAAGCCAACTATCCACCCAGCCACACCCACCCACCGCCAGTACCGCCCCCACTCCCACGATTCTCTCACGAACACCAAAACCCAGCCCCAATCCCACTCGCACCCTCACTCGCACCCCTCACTCGCGCTCTCACTCGCACTCCCACTCGCACTCCCAGACACACACTCACACGCACAATGAACTTGATTCTGCTTTTGAGTCGACTCAAAAGCAGACAATGAACTTGGCGGCACAGGGGTCCACCTTCTCATACACGTCCCTCCGGAAGAGAGCTCCATTCAGGGGGTCCCTCTCTGCCCCTGCCACCTCCGCCGATAGTGTTGGAAGCAACCCACCCAGTCGCACCCAGCCACACCCAGCCACACCCAGCCACACCCACTCCCACCACTCACACGCACGATGAACTTGACGGCAAAGGGGTCCACTAAAGGGTTCTCATACACGTCCCTCCGGAAGAGAGCTCTGCTGAGCGGGACACTCTCTATTCTTACTTACAGGAACACACTCCCAGACCCAAAGGGACAAGAACACTCACAGACTCACAGGCACGATGAACTTGGCAGTACTGGGGTCGACCTTCTCATACACTCCCTCAGAAAAAGGGCTCCGTTTAGGGTGTCGCTCTCTGCTCCTGCCCCCTCCGCCTCTCCTCTCGCCCTGGCTCATGCACACTCACAGGCACGATGAAATTGACGGCACAGGGGTCGACCTTCTCATACACGTCCCTCAGGAGGAGGGCTCCGTTAAGAGGGTCGCTCTCTGCCCCTGCCACCTCTGCCTCTGGTGTTGGAACAACAACCCACCCATTCACACCAACTCACACCTACTCCCACCACTCACAGGGACAATGAACTTGGCGGCACAGGGGTCCACCTTCTCGTACACGTCCCTCAGGAGGAGGGCTCCGTTAAGAGGGTCGCTCTCTGCCCCTGCCACCTCTGCCTCTGGTGTTGGAACAACAACCCACCCATTCACACCAACTCACACCTACTCCCACCACTCACAGGGACAATGAACTTGGCGGCACAGGGGTCCACCTTCTCGTACACGTCCCTCAGGAAGAGAGCTCCATTCAGGGGGTCCCTCTCTGCCCCTGCCACCTCCGCCGATAGTGTTGGAAGCAACCCACCCAGTCGCACCCAGCCACACCCAGCCACACCCAGCCACACCCACTCCCACCACTCACACGCACGATGAACTTGACGGCAAAGGGGTCCACTAAAGGGTTCTCATACACGTCCCTCCGGAAGAGAGCTCTTCTGAGCGGGACACTCTCTACTCTTACTTACAGGAACACACTCCCAGACCCAAAGGGACAAGAACACTCACAGACTCACAGGCACGATGAACTTGGCAGTACTGGGGTCGACCTTCTCATACACTCCCTCAGAAAAAGGGCTCCGTTTAGGGTGTCGCTCTCTGCTCCTGCCCCCTCCGCCTCTCCTCTCGCCCTGGCTCATGCACACTCACAGGCACGATGAAATTGACGGCACAGGGGTCGACCTTCTCATACACGTCTCGAAACAGAAAAAGGGGTCCGTTTAGGGGGTCGCTCTCTACTCCTGCCCCCTCCGCCTCTCCCCCTGGCGCCACGAACAAGCCCCAAACCACGTGCCATGCCACGTGCCATGCCACGTGCCATTCACAGTTACAGGGACAATAAACTTGGCGGCACAGGGGTCGACCTTCTCATACACGTCCCTCAGGAAGAGGGCTCCGTTCAAAGGGTCGGTCTCTGCCCCTGCCACCTCTGCCTCTGGTGTTGGAACAACAACCCACCCATTCACACCAACTCACACCTACTCCCACCACTCACAGGGACAATGAACTTGGCGGCACAGGGGTCCACCTTCTCATACACGTCCCTCAGGAAAAGGGCACCGTTAAGAGGGTCGCTCTCTGCCCCTGCCACCTCCGCCTCCCCTCCCGGCGCCACGAACTGCCAGCCCACGTGGTCGTCCCCCTCCCTCGTGCGTTTCCATACAGGCTCCACCACCTGAGAGAGGGTTTGAAGGATAGGGGAACACAGGGTGGGAGCAGGGGAATGAGAGTATGGGAAGGGGGAAATGGACATGAGTGTCGCTCTCTGCCCCTGCCACCTCCGCCTCCCCTCCCGGCGCCACGAACTGCCAGCCCACGTGGTCGTCCCCCTCCCTAGTGCGTTTCCATATAGGCTCCACCACCTGAGATGAGAGGGCGAGGGCGAGAATAAGAGCAGGAGAACGCGAGCAGGGGAGAGGGGAAGGGGAATGAGGGAAAGATGAGTGCCGCTCTCTGCGCCTGCCACCTCCGCCTCCCCTCCCGGCGCCACAAACGGCCAGCCAACGTGGTCGTCCCCTTCCCTCGTGCGCTGCCACACTGGCTCTACCACCTGGGATGAGAGGGGAATGGGGGAAAGCAGCAGCGGAGAGGGGAATGAGTGTCGCTCTCCGCCCCTGCCACCTCCGCCTCCCCCCTTGGCGCCACGAACGGCCAGCCAACGTGGTCCTCGCCCTCCCTCGTGCGCTTGAAGAAGTGTTTTGAGACGTCTCAAAACACTTCTTCAAACGAACGGCCAGCCAACGTGGTCCTCGCCCTCCCTCGTGCGCTTGAAGAAGTGTTTTGAGACGTCTCAAAACACTTCTTCAAACGAACGGCCAGCCAACGTGGTCCTCGCCCTCCCTCGTGCGCTGCCACACCGGTCCTACTACCTGTGAGAGTGGGAGAATGAGGGGGAATGGGAGCAGGGGGGAGGGGAATGTGTGAATGTGTCGCTGCTCTTCGCACCTGCCACCTCTGCCTCTCCCCCCTCCGCCTTTCTCCCCGTTTCCATACGGGCTCCACAACCTGAAATGAGAGAATAAAGCAGCGGGGTGAGGGTAATGTGCTTATAACGGAAATTGCTTAGAGTCACGGAGATGGCGTTCTCGAGCCCAAGACGCGTGACGTTGAGAATTCCCCCGTTGAGCGTCAATAAGCACACTCATGTTCGCTGCTCAAGTCACTGTAATGCTTGTACAGTGCCTACAACGGATGTGACTATAGCGGAAGCAGAAGCGCTTATAACGAGGGGATTCTTACAGTCACACAAATGGCATCCTCGGGCCCCTTGAGCTTGAGCGCCATGAAGCACATTCATGCTCGCTTTAGTCACTGTAATGCTTATAGCGGAAGTGACTATAGCGGGAGGAGCTTACAGTGATGAGAAACTGCATCCTGGAGCCCCTTGAACTCGAGCGCCATGAGCGCCATGAGTCAGTTTTGTACCGCACTGTCATATAACAGCACAGTCACACAACTATAGTCACCCCTGTTAGAGGGCCCTACGACAGCAAGGGCCCTCGATGACCTTTGACTTGCCAGGTCGGCGCCTAACGACTGAGTCTACTCGGCACCGACGCACAAGTTCGGTGGCGGTCATTAGTGACTACGGGTGACTGTGAGCTACTGCAGCGAACTCGGCGGAATCGGTGCTAGGAATGACGAGTCTTGGGGGTCGTAGGTGCCTTGCTTGTGAGGCACGCTGCTCACTTGCTGTGTTGGCAGGAGTAGCGTGCACGGTCAGATCTTCCGGTGCCGAGTTGGGTTGGAAATGTGCGGGGCGCGTTCACCCACCTGCACAGCACTTTCGTGTGGGTTGGGTTACTCGCAGCGCCACGCAACAATTGTGCAACTCTTGCTTGCCTATATATGTTTGTGTTTGCTTGTCTGTTTGATACTTGATATTCCAATTCTACTTGGTCCAAATGCTACTTCAATTCTCACAAAGTCCTTAGAGGCAAACTCTACCAAGTTGCTGGCGCAACATCATTCCCATAGCAGAGACTCTCTCGCTATCGCTACGCTCTCTAATATATTCCTTCAACCCCCACGTACAGTCACACTATAGTCACCCCCACGTACAGTCACACTATAGTCACCCCCACGTACAGTCACACTATAATCACCCCCACGTACAGTCACACTATAATCACCCCCACGTAAAATGACGGAAATGGCGTCCTCGAGCCCCTTGAGCTTGAGCGCCATGAGGCAGCGACACGCCCAGGGGCACGCGTAGCTCACGTACAGGTGGTACCTGGGGGCGGTTGGAAGGGGGGAGGGGGAGGGGAAGGGGGAGGGGGAAGGGGGCCGGGGGCAGTTGGTCCTATCCATCTACATAACTGCCGCCGACGGCAGGGAATCCGCTGGACCCATCCGCGGTGATGACGCTGCGGATCGCGGAGGGCGTGCGCCGCCAGAACGCGCCGTCCGCGCTATAACACACTTGATTACCGCGTACAAGCGTACCTGCCGGCGACGGCGGGGAATCCGCTCGACCCATCCGCGCTTATACCCGCCGTCCGCGCTCGTCTCCTGAATCGCCGTCACCACCATGGCGAGCGCTGCTGCTGACGTGGCGGGCGCTGCTGCTGACGTGGCGGGATCTGCTGACGTGGCGATCGGATCAGAAGAAGACCTCGTAGTCACTGCGGTGGCTTGTCGAACGCGCGAGCGACGACTGGAAGGCTGGTGCTGCTGCGGCAGGCACGGCGATTGCGGCAGCAAGGATTGTTCGAAGAGGAACGTGGTTGAATTGTTTGCGACCCAGTCGCCACTCGCAAATTTCTTGAATTTCGTGAATCTCGCCAATCTCGAAAATCTCGGAGCCGGTGGGACCGTCGAGTTACATACACTCTTAGTGGGCGATCGAAACTGCTGGAAACGGCAGGGTTCAGGGGCGGTAGCAAAAGTAAAAGGAAAATCAGGCGAGCGCAAAGACTGGTGCTCAGCAAGAATTCTGACTGGGACGGAGGCAGCAAGACGTGCGGACAGCGGCAGGCGAAGGGCTGACGACCCAACAGTCGCCATGTCTGGTTTCGGCTGGTTTTCGCGATTGCAGAGGAGAGAAGGATGACGAAGAAGGAAAAGAAACGCGTTCTTGCTGAGAAAACTGAAACGAGAATGATTGACTAAGGAACGAAGGTGATACAAATATGCAACCCTAGAAATGTGTACCCCATATAGGCTACCCCACTATAGCCTACACAACATTATAATTTAACACACCCCCATAGGCAAAGTGGGGGAGAACAAGGGGTCACAAGACCAGTCAAGCAAAACAAAGCAAAGCTCAGGGTGGATCACAAAGTCACCACACATTTCGAGCACAAGTTCAAGGCCACAAGGCCAGTTCACATGCAGGAACACATATATATATAACAGGCTAAACAAGCAAGAGCAGGAGTATATATATACATATGTCACAGTACAAGCAAGGTCAAGAAGTGAGTAAGTGAGGCAAGACAGGTACAAGACCAAGCTGAGTACAGAAGCGCTGATGATCACAAGGCGCAAGTGCCTTAGTGAAGATATCAGCAGTGTTGGCCTCAGAGGCCACGTACGCAAGTCGCAACTGACCACGCTGCTGCAGCTCACAAGCAAGAAAGTAGCGGAGCGCAATGTGCTTCGTTCTGTGCTCCAGGCGCTGCTCCCGACACAAGGCCAGCATGGCCTTGTTGTCTACGTACAGCACTGGAGGAGAACGAGGCGGCTCTCCGAGGTCAGTCAGCAGGTAGGTGAGCCAGCCAAGCTCCTGAGCAGCCATGGCTCCGGCGTAGATCTCAGCCTCACAACTGGAGCCGAGAACAGAAGACGAGCGAGTAGCCCGCAACAAAACAGAGCCGGAACCAAGGCCGAAGGTGTAACCCTGTGACGACCGCTGTGTAGCCTGGTCGTCAGCCCAAGAAGCTTCTGCGTGCCCAGTGAGGACCACTGGACTCTGCCCTCTAAGCACTAGCCCCATGCCCGACGTACTGCACAAGTAGCGCAACACCCTCTTCGCTGCAGCCATGTGCTCTGGTCTGTGTCTCCTAGGAGTAACATAGCGTGCGAGAATGCTAAGAGGGTATGCAAGGTCACGTCGTGTGCAGGTCATCAGGTACATGAGGCAGCCAACAAGCTCTGGGTACGGGCCACTCGACTCTACGGACTCATCCGAAGGCAGAGCTGAGAGCGAGTGGCGAGTAGGCAGAGGAGTGGCCTGAGGCGAGGAGTACGTGAAGCCGAAGCGCTGAAGGACCTGCTGCACCATGTGTGACTGAGTCAGGGTAATGGTGCGGCGTGCTCTGTCCCGAGTGATCTGCAAGCCAAGGTAGCTGCGCAGTTCACCCAGGTCAGTGCACGTGTGTCTCTTCTGCAGCTCGGACTTCACGTAGGCGAGTCCAGCAGTGTCACCTGTGGCAAAGACCAAGTCGTCGACGTACACGAGGATGTAGAACGGCGGCAAAGAGGTGTCGGTGCGCAGAAACAGCGTCGGGTCAGCAGTAGAGGGAGCAAACCCAAGAGCCGCAAGTGTAGTCCTCAGTGTGTCATGCCACTCGTGCGGTGCCTAGCGGAGACCGTAGACTGGCCGTCGGAGGCTCCACTGGATGCCAGGAGGGAAAGTCCCAGTGAACCCAGGTGGACGGCGCAGCCAGATCTCCTCGTGCAGGCTACCCTGCAAGAAAGCACTGCTGAAGTCAAGGGAGTGAAGCTCGTAGTCACGCTGAGCGGCTATGTGTAGCAGCACCCGAAGAATGGTCATCTTCGGGGTGGGAGAGAAGGTCTGAAAGTAGTCAACTCCCTGCCGCTGACTGAAGCCACGAGCCACGTACCGCGCCTTGAAGACAGGTGGAAAACCTGGCGTCCGCTTCACCCTGAAGATCCACATGCCACTAACGATGTTCGCCCCAGGAGGGGGAACTGCGTCAACGTAGGTGCCTGTGGACTTCCAGGAAGCCATCTTTGCATCCATAGCTGCCTGCCACGGAGAGGAGTAGGGACCCTCTACGGCCTCGGCGTAAGAGCGCGGAGTCGGGATGTCAAGTGCATCCGGGTCTCCCTCAGGGGTAAGCAGTATGGACACGAGAAGAGGTGAAGTTGCAGCCAGACACTGGAACTCCTCCTGCCCGTCCTCAAGGACGTGCGTGCCAAGAGCACACTCACCCCCGACGGACGGAGGACAGACAGACGCAGACTCAGCAACAAGACTAGCAGCGTAGTCTAGACGACAGCGAGCAGCAAAGTCGACGAGCTCAGCAACAAGAGCAGACGGAGCAGTGGACTCAAAGGAGGGGTCAGTGACGACAGTAGCAAGGAGACGCGTGACAGTAGGACTGGCAGCACGAAGAGAGTCCGACTCCGGGTCGGCAAGTGCAGGAAGAGAGGACTCAATAGGAGAAGGCAAAGGGGCACGCAGTGGAGCAGTGGACGGACGTAGAGACATCCGGTGCGTGCCAGGGACAGGAGGAGGACGCTGACGCGAACCGCAACCACTAGTGCGAGCAGCACGAACAGGCGACGCAGGACGAGACGCAGGCTCACGACGCTCAGCAAGACCTCCAGTTGGACCAGTGTAGGGAGAAGGAGCAGGCAGTGGGGAGGCCGGCGGAAGCTGTGACTAGGACTAGACAGGCGGTGGACACTCTAAGGGAGGAGGAAGACCAAGAACCTACTGAAGGAGCGGAACGAAGTACGGCCTAGGCCGCGCGGCCACTCCAGACACAGCAGGGACAGCACCAGCGCCAACACCACCGCCAGCTGCAGGACCTCCAGCAGGACCAGCAGCACCCGCATCAGGACCAGAGCCAGCAGCACCTCCAGCAGCACCAGCAGCACCCCCAGCAGAACCGTCTCCAGAACTGACAGCAGTAGCCTCAGCGCCAACACCCTCAGCAGCTCCAGCTCCAGGCGAACCCGCAGGCCTAGCAGCTCCAGTACTCGCGGCACGAGCACCTCCAGGACCGGCGGCACCAGCAATTCAGCTGCCGAAGAAGCTCCAGCAGGGTGCCTCCAGCGCCGGGCAAACCACTC